TACGTTGGGCACGACTTCCGCCTCATTTTTACAATGCGAGAACTCTATCTTGTATTTCTAGTATCTTTGATAATAGTATGATTTTAGTGTGTTGGGCTCCGTTCTATTGCATAAACGAATGTCCTGTTCTCCATAGTGACGACAGTTACGCACATGTTGTGAGTTGCGCACTATTCACGCGCAACTTTAGAACCGTTCTTAAAAAATAAAATTGATCCTTGATCGATCGCGTTTGTTGTTTCCCTTCTTTATGGTAGCATCTTTGCAAGCAACACTCATGCATATTAACTATTTTCTTTATTAATAATAAATTATTGAGCCTTCCGTGCTAAGCATGAGTTCTCTCTCTGGGAGGCATAAATATTTTTTGTCAGGACTAAAAAAGGTTTTTGTTAACTGTTATACAGTAATTTTAATTGCTTCTTCTGATGATTCTTTACAGATAAGAATGAATGCGAGGATGGAAGTATGCTATGCGAACATCGATGCTTCAACACACAGGGTGGCTACCAGTGCGCGTGCGACATAGGATACATTTTAGCTGAAAACAGTTACAATTGTGAAGGTATGTTTAGCGTGATGTCACGTGTATGTTACGCGCAATTAGTCAAATTTAATTGCGTAAAATTGACTGCTCGATGTATTTTTTTTAGCATAGCAGGTTTTAAATTTGTAGCTATTTAATTAATGAGAAAACACAGAAATTATAACTGGAAAGCCTGCGTAAATAGTATAGTAGTTTGCTTGCTACAGTTTACGTGTTAGCCTATTATGCCTTGATAGACAACTCTACATTCTAATTCTTTCTACAGAGATACAGAACTGTGTACGTTCCTACGATGATTACGAGGATTATATTCTCTCGCCCAATATTTCGAGTGATAACACTCATTCTTTTGAATGCCTGTGGCACATAACTGTCGACCAGAATCTTAGAATATCATTAGGGTAAGGAATATGTCTAAAGTTAAATTAAAGTGTAGCCTATACTTTACCTGCTAAACTCGAATTTACCTATTCTTAATGTTTTGCACCCTCACTAATCATTACACAGATGCTGTCTAGGCGCAGGCATACTACCGGCTTAATAAACACCACCTTTATAAAAACACCTAATATAAAACTCTTCTTCATCATCATCCTCATTCTTGATATTCTTATTACCACCACTACCACCACCATCATCATCATGTTATGAGACAAGGCACGTCTTCTAATTGTGATCCCAATAATGGTTTTTTTTTTTATCATACTGTAATTTTTGAATAATTGAATAATTTTAATAATTAACCATTGTTAACCAATTTTAATAATTAACCATTAACCATCACCATTGTAATAATAAAGTTGACTTGATTAGATTGGTTAGATGGAAAATGCCATGCGTAAATGCTCTGTTATTTTCTTGAATGTTTAAAACTAATGCAGGAACTTAACATTCTTTTCATCAGGCCACTATCTTATAGTTTCGATTTGTATCTTCTTTTTTAGGATTGAATTTCAGAAATGGGAAGATGACGGTAGTTGTTTAGATTACATAATCATAGGACAGGGCCAAGGTCCTGGTAGCGGAATAACAAAAATATGTAGTATAGAGGACTGGCCTGGAGAAGTGGACACTATATCAAACAGCATCTGGATAAAGTACCGCTCGCAGTGGCCGCACATTAGTTCCATTTTGGTCAATTATTTTACTGAGGAACGTGGGGACCATAAGCAGGAGTGTGGGGGTACGATCAATGGTGAGATTAAGCAAAAAGCATTTCCTTTTTAGTCGGCAAGTGTTCATAAATTATTTCTTCCCCGGAAAAAGTTAGCGGGTAGAGCCTTGTGGTTCACATCCTGAACTTGAAGCCGTTTCATTTGCAATAACTATCGAATGTCAAACATCTCTATATCTTTTAATAAATGTATAATTGACTCAATTCAGTTGTTTTATTATACTGCCATGTCATTTTTTTTTTTTGGTGATTACCAGAATGAATGAATGAATGATCGAACGGGACCTAAAACAAGTTAAGGATGTCAAAAATAACTAAAGATTTACGGGGACTCAAACCGGGATTCGTATACATGGCGATTGATTTGACCACTTGGCCATGATGTCATTTGTGGTAAATCAGAAAATTAACAGAGCCTCATAAACAAGACGTTTAAATTCCTGTTGGTACACCTACTTACACGTATATGTATAGTATAAACAGTATTATATAGGTATATATATATGTATATATATATAGTACCTATGTAATATGTATATATAATTTTATGTATATATCAGTCCATTCCATCCACACACTGATACATCCTTCGCTTCCACAGAAACCACAACTCTAGAAACACCTGGGTATCCGGATTTTTATCCGAATAAAGTTGATTGCATCTGGAAAATAACTGGATCCAAAGTGACAATGTCATTTGAAAACTTCGATATTGAGAAACAAGAGGATTGTCAATTCGACTACGTCGATATCATGGATGGAGACGTAGAACACCCAGCAAGAATTGGAAGGTAAGTTCACTCCTTCAAAAATAATGCAAAGCAATAAACAGCAAGATTGGCATAATTTTATAGTTATCATTTTTAAATGTTCACTGATAAACAAATGCAGATTTAATGGTCAGGAATAAAATATGCTTAGTGGTGTTAAAAGTTAAAGAGGCATTTCAGGCATTTATAAATTCTCCATTTATGTTTTTGTTGTGCACATTTTGAGGTTATAATTACATTTTTCGATTAAAGTATTGTTTTCATTTCATTGAATCTATATTACATTGTTTTTTTTAATACTATAAGTGGGAAATGAAGAAGACTACACATTTAAACAATTACAAACTTTTTTTTTCTCATGAAACTGTTACATAACAATTTGTTATCTATAATACTAGAATATTAGATTTGACAGTGTTTTGTATTAAATTTTAGATTTTGTGGAAGTAGATCACCACCTACAGTGCTACGATCAGTAACTGGTGAAGTTTGGATTAAGTTTCAGTCAGACGCAACAGTCCAAGGAAAAGGATTTCGAGCTATCGTCAACGTAGAATAGTCAGACCAATGTAATATTTACGATCTTAGTATTTGTTGTGCATGTCAATTAACAATTGAGTCATCTCTAAGAAGGGATATAATATGCCCAGGAAATATTATACACTCAATTTAAATAATACGGTGTATTAATTAGTCTTATTTTGGGAGGTGGGTTGATGGTGGTGCTTTGGGTAAATAACCATATTTTTTTATAGATAGGGAAAAAACATGTTCAGAAAAAAAATACTGGTGAATTGTTTTATATATTAATAATCTTTAGAGATTTAGCTATATCAATGACTTTTGTATTGTTACAGTTAAGATTTCTTGGTAATGTTGTAATTATATTATTAGGGAGATTTTTGCAACCTTACGAAAACGAATACGTCATTATCATTAACGTCATTCGTGTCTAAAACATTCTTGACAATGTGCTGAATATGATCCTTGATTCATGCAAAGACATGAATCGCCTACGTTGTGACGGTTAGGCCATTGTAGGGGATAGGAAGAATTGTCTAAAAAATTGATAATGTAACAGGCCCGTATTTAGGAATTTCAATGGGCGTGGATGGGGGGGGGGGGTTCGGGCTTGGGACTATGCCGAACTCATTATCAAAACCCACATACTTCTTCTCTCCCCTAAATGGGGACTTTATTCAGTGTGATAGGCCTCAGGCCCTTTTACAGTATAAAAAAATATACATTTTTAGTGCTTTAAATAAGGCAAGACTTTTTTTATAACTTGTTTAGCGAACCCTCCGATTCCGAAATTGTGGATTTCAAAATAAATAATAAAATTTTATTGTAAGTGTGTTTGCGTACGAGCCGCCATTAAAAATTGAAAAAAAGAAATAAAAATAAAAATTATATTTATTTTTATTCTGTCCTCCGCTACATGGAATCCCTTTTTCCAAAAAATTAAATCTTAAGTAAAATTTTCACGGAACTCCATCTCCCGAGAACCGAGAACCCCCCTAAATACGGGCCTGAATACTACAATTGATCATTTATTTATTGATAATAACATAGTAACTCGTGTAAGTAAAACTAAATTTATGTGTGTCATCAACAAATGGAACTAAAAATAGAATTGAAAGGAATGAACATTTTACAAAACTTTCTAGGAATAAACGAACATCAAAAATTGTGCTGGAGGACGGTTGGTAGACTGAATACCCCCTGTCTCTTATACATTTATATTTATTATTATTCTGTCCTCCGCTACATGGAATCCCTTTTTCCGAAAATTTAAATCTTCCTAATTTAAGTTCACGGAACTCCATCTCCCGCCGGGGGGTTCGATCGAAACCACCCCCCCCCCCTAAATACGGGCCTGTGTAACTGTATTCATTGTTTTTGTAAGCTTGCGAAAACCCCTATTTATGTCTGCTCATAATGTTTTTTGCTAAAACCAGTCATTCGTTTAACACCTAAGGAAAATATTCTCAGATCCTTAATTGTGGGATATTCCGTAATGTTCAATAATCAGTGCATTGGTATAACCACCGGCTCTCAGGTGGAGAGTGAAGCAAGCGAAATGCACAGTGAAAGGTTAGCAATCCTGACCTCAAGATTAGAAGTCCGAATTGCAACCGCTTTGCCCACCATTTATACATGTTGGTTTATTTTTATGCACACTGGTTTATGGATATTTAAGATCCCCTACGACCTGGATAATAATAATAATAATAATACTAACAATAATAATGTTAGACTTATAGTTCGTCGTACCAACAAGGCCTCTAAGTATAAAGTACCGTATAAGATTGTTTGTAAGCAAATTTAAATAACGAGGCATTTATATTTAAATTTATTAACAAAACTAACAAACAGTCTTAAAGTTTTGTAAAGTATCGACGAGTAAGAAAAATTAATGAAAATGTTTATAGATACTAACAAAGAAAATAACCCTAATTTACGTATGATGCTGCATATTCGTACAGGCAAGGTAACAACGGTTGTAAACGGTAGAGAAAGAGGTTACACTCTCCATGGCTTATGCATGTATGCCTAATGAAAGAGTCTTCCTTTCCAATTTTACCAGTTTGTAACAGCGCTTTCATTTCCACATAAATAGAAACCATTACCCACGAGTTTCTATAGGGAAACAGAATGCTTTAGTATTTAATTTGTCTTTTCGACTTCAAAATGGCTGTACGTCCGCGAATGAGCTCAAGCGACGTCGGGCGCCAGAACTGTCTGGCACAGCTGCGTCACGTTTGTTTATTAATAGTCTTACTATAATACGGACATGCATTTTATACAGCAATTAGAATTAAAGATACACTATGTACATCCTCCTTAAGAGATCGAATGTACATAGCCATTGGAGCATTCTAGTATAGGCGGCGCCTATGATTTCACCAAATCACGCATAGGACAACGTCCTCCTCTAATAATAATATTGTTTGGTAAAACATGTGTATTATGTGCCTTGTTATTCTAAAAAGATTTGCATAATAACACCGATTTTAGGTTAGATCGATACGTTTAAGAAATAATCATCACAAAAAACACGGCATTGTTGATATTAGTGTTGTTGTAGTAGTAGTAGTCGGAGAGGGCGTTTTCGTGTTCTCATTTCTCATCTACCTCCATTGGTACTTTTAAGGGTTATATTCCTTCAAAGTCGGTGTGGCAACGTGGACCAAATTGGAAAGAATTTGAAATTAGATACTTTAATTTAGCAGCTGAGCTGAAACATTATTTATACTATTTAAAAATGTTGTTTTTTTATACTATACATTTGACACAAAATTAAGAACTTTGACAATGTTAAACTGTAGGTTTACACTGTCTTCTGCCCGCTATTGTGGTATACTGCCCTCTATATTGATTAAATTTTCGAATTCGTTTTCCAGTGTTCACGTTTGCTACTCTAATTCTGATCCTGTCACGTTTTTCAGTAAGGAATAATAAGTATGAAATGTATTGTGGCAAAACAAATGGTGCTCAAGGTCATCTTAGTAAACTTTTCTACAAAGATTAGCAATTCTCACTTTGGAATGATATAAGTTATCACGATTTGAAAACAAACATTGGTTGAGTGGTAGGCTACTTTTAGATAAGTTATCACGGTTTGAACAATTGTTGAAATGGTGTCTTGTCATGGGTTTGGAAATAAAAGTCCGAGTAACCAATAATTGTATAACGACTTGAGTGTTTTTTGTGTTCCCCCCCCCCCCTTTGCTTTCAACTGCAAGAAGAGCATTAATTGGCACTGTTACTAAATGTCACTATGACCGCCGGATGTTTATGGTTAGAGAAACTCGTTTCTTTGAACGAGGATTATACCACCAAAAAGTGTCAATTAAACTTAACAACTGACCAATCAGAGCAGGGCCATGAATACGCGCATGTCTCAGGGACGTAGCCAGGATTTTAAAAGGAGAGGGGAGCCGTTAATATGCGAGGTACGTAAGACAAATTTCTCATGATCTTTTAACATGGATCTACTTAATATGCAGGACAACTTAGACCTAACTATAGCTTTAACTATACTATAACTAGAAATTGCAAATTGCAAGTGAAGTGCTGCGAAGTACAACTGCATAATATAAATGTTCTTCGAACAAAATTATTTATGCGAGTCAAGTGAAAATAATGAATAATAAAACTATAACAAATAATATGAGACACGACCCATTGTCTATATGAGAACACTTCTCATTGGGTAACAAAGTCGTAATTTTTTATTTTTGTCAAAAAGTGTCTA